AAAAAAAAAAGAAAAGAAAAAAGATTGGACATTCCTGGTACAGAACATTTCCTTCACAAAGGCCCCTCATGTCACCCTTTTATCCACTCCCAGCCTTTCCTTGGTCCTTGGAAGCCACTAATCCATTTCTACAATTTTGTTACTTCAAGAATGGTATATAAGTGGCATAATGTATATAAATACAGTATGCAACCTTTTAGGATTGGCTCTTGTCACTCACGTAATTTTCTGGACATTCATCAAAGTTGTTGTGTGTATCATAGTTCATTCCTTTTTATTGCTGAGTAGTATTTCATGGTATGAATTTACCGCAGTTTGTTTAACCATTTACTCATTCAAGGACATCTGGGTCGTGTCCAGTTTCTGGCTGTTACAAGTAAGGTTGCTATAAACATTCACACAGAGATTTATGTGTGAATTTTTTTTTTTTTTTACTTCTCTGGAATAAATGTCCAGGAGTATAGTTACTGGGTCATATGGTAGTGGGTATTAGGTGTTAGGTTGTTTTTTGTTTTTTGTTTTTTGTAGTTTTTGGCCAGGGCCAGGTTTGAACCCACTACCTCCTGTATATGGGGCCAGTGCCCTACTCCTTTGAGCCACAGGTGCTGCCTGGGTGTTAGTTTTTTAAGAAACTGCCAGACTTGTCCAGAGTGGATAAAGGGATTCTGAGGTCAAAAATATGTGACAACCACTGCTTCATACAAAGGCATTTATCAAAGCTGATAATGTGACATATACAATAAGAAAATTTCTTGTGTTGAGAGCATCAAAGGAGACTTTTTTCTCAGCCTTTTGTAAAGGGAGTGATATCTTACTCTTTGTTCATTTGTAAATTACAGTGCCATGTCACATGTTGATTGCTTTGCAGTGCCACCGATGTACAAGATTTTCTCCTATATGTTTGTATAGCAGTGCCCTTCAGGACTCTTTCATTTTAGGCTTATGTATGAACCTGAAAACAATTTCTTTAATTTACTTTGTTTTAAGTGCATAGTATGTCTTGAGATGTGGGAACACAAAAGGTAAAAAAAAATACTGAGTGGAGACAGATGAGCAAACAATTTGATACAGTAATTGGAAGGTGGGCATGAAGACCAACAGCAGGAGAGAAGGGAAGGGAAGCACACCCAGAAGTAGGAGGCGGCCAGTGTGACTGGACAGAGGAGGCAGTTTGAGCTGAGACCAGGGAGTGAGTAGGAGTGGGCCAGGAGGAAATGATGGGGGAGTGGTGGTGGTGGTATTCTTAGACTCTTGGCATCATTGAGTCAAAGGAACCACAGATGTTTCCTGTCTAACTATGCCTTGGTAGTAACCATGGCTCATCATCTTTTTCCCTGGTGTGGATCTCTTAGGTTAGGGCCAGTGAGGACCCTTTAAATGTGAGTCGAGAGTAACATCAAGAGAAATTACCTGAATGATATATAATTTTGCATTATGCAAATTAGCAGTGAAACACCATAGTTCAGAGAGTCTTTGTAATGTGCCAGGATATGCTTATCCCATAAACCAGGAAGAGCAATCATGTTAATTATAATTGGAATTAGATGGTAAATAATGCCTCATAACTCCCTTCCCATTGCACTGGCTATTTTTCAAGATACTATTAGAAATGTCTTGTTATAATCCTGGCCAATTTAATAGCTTCCTTCTCCATACTATTCCTGGAATATTTTTACATAAATTATGCATTTTGTAAATGTACATATTATGCTACACTTTATATTTTGGGAAATGTTAGAGACATTTATTTAACTTATATTTTAATACTACAAAGTATGCTCAAATAAAATCTGAAATCAAAATTATGTATAAACATGAGTATATCTTACACATAGACGTAGTTGTAGTCACCAAAACTTGCCAAGGGACCCAGGTGTAAGAGGTAGTGTAAGGTGGTACAGCAGATGTGCACACAAGGCTGAAGTGAAAAGATCCACCTGGACTGGGAGCAGAGGGGTAAGATTGGGCTTTGGAGAGTGGAGCCAGGCTGCCTTTGTCCTTGGAAAGCTCGCACACTGAAGCTTTTATGAAACACCTTTCCTCTTTCCTGTAATCACTTAATTTCCTACTGGTTTATTTTGAAGCAAGAAAGAGCTGAGTTTATCTTCCTTCTCTCTTACTAAGTCATTATACACTGTATGGCTTTGGGCAGATCGTAAAATCTGTCTGACCTTTGGTTTCCTTGTCTTTAATAATAGCTGACTTAGATTCCACCTGTGTTTGCCAGGCACCGTTTTAAGATCTGTCCATACTTATTCTTTATTTTGACCCTTTGAGACAGGCACTCTTCCTACCCCCATTTTCCATTTGAGAAGGAAACAAACACAGAGGATTTAAGGTAACAAGGCTTAATAAGTGACCAAGTGAGGATTTGACCTCCCAAATCAGATTCAGGGTCTGTACTCTTAATTGTGCTATATGCCATCACAAGTCTTTAAGCAATATTTATAAGCATGTTAGTGATCCATCTATGATAATTTTCATTTAACGTTTGTTTGATAGTAACATGGAGGTATTTCGGGGGTGGAGCTAATGCAGTTGTTATATGGCATTTTAAATGGGAACGTGCTCATTTTCCTCATGAAAAGATTTTGTGATAAAAATGAAAGTAATCAAAGAACTGAAGTTATTTAGAGATTAAAATAGTCTTAAGATAAATACTTAGTCATTATGTGGGAGGCCAGAATTGCAGTGTATTTTCCTGAGGAAAAGAAAAATGAAAACACTATCATGAACAAAAAAGAGCAGAAGACAGGAGTTTTCTTGCTGAGTAGGAGCAAGCATCTGTAGGAATTCTGTATTGAAATACCTAGTTTGAACCAGTCGGGCTGCCTACAATACACACGATGTTTCTCTTTAATCTCACATACCTTGCACTGACATTTACAAAGTTATGATGCTCAAAGGGTAAAGAACAAGCTCCATAAATTATAAAATACAAGAAGTGTTTGCTCTCTTGATGTTGGTACCCATGGGAGTTTAGATTATAGGCTGCTACTATTGTTACTTTATAAGGTAGTTTTAAAAACATGAGTTAATCTCAAGCTAACTGTCCCAGCTGAATTTTATCCCACTCTCTTCTCATTCAGGGCAGTGCTTGTTAAATCTATTAAAACATTAATATTTTTTTCTTTGTTTTTGCGGGTTTTGGCCGGGGCTGGATTTGAACCTGCCACCTCTGGCATACGGGGCCGGCACCCTACTCCTTTGAGCCACAGGTACCACCCAACATTAATGTTGTTTTTATATTAAATACTCTAAGTAAATAAGCTAGCAAACACATACGTGATCAAAGGAGGGAGAATTTTGTTATTGACATATGTACAAATGCTAGTGGCCTTAACATATGTTCCTCTTACCCATTCTGTGGCAAGTACACTAAGTTCTAGAAACCCCCTGCCCAGGTATGCTTTTTGTGCTCCAGATGTTTTTACCTGCTTCATATTCCCTGAATACTTTCACCTGACTGTGACTTAGCCAATGCTCTCCCCTTGTCTGAGATGCCCTTGTCCATTTTTCTCTCTGGCTAATGCTTCCTGTCAAAATTCAGCCATTCATGTTTTTCCCCTTTTGAAAGTATTTCCGGCCACAAAGCGAAGCTAAATTAGATGCTAGTTCTCTTCATCTTTCACCATAGTCACATAACATCCTATGCATAACTTCGTTGGCGTACTTACTACATGGAAATTTTAATAATGGGTTTTCTTAACTGTCCTCTCCCTACCTCCCCTCTATCCATGTTCAATGTTTGGTATATTCTAGAGGCTCTGTAAATATTTGTAGAAGAAACACAAAGAGCTACTGCTTTTGGAGTTGGTTTCTTCTGGTGCTTCAGATGGAAACTCTTGAAGGAGGGGAGCATTCCTTGCTTGGCTTGTGCTGCACAGGAGGAGTCTATTTTAAGGGTCTTGTTTTGGGAGGACACACACACTCACACAAATTGCTGCTCTAAGCAAGACTGAGTGGAAGTGTGGAATAATTTGAGGTGGAATTTATAACATTTCATATCTGTTTGGTTTTTCCTTTAAATGGAATAAAATAGTAAGTGGAAAATCTTTAAGTGGAATAAAACTTCATGGTTAGTGCAGATGTTATTTATATTGTTATACAAATATATCTTTAATCTGTTATAGGGAGAATATTCAAATCATACATATTTTGAAATGCATTTTTTCTGTAGTGTTTAACAAAGGTCAGTTTTATAATATTAACAGACTCTGAATTATCCTTGAGACTACATTTCAAAGGCACAATCTTTGGTATAGTACTATAAATGCATAAATCAATCAGAAGCAAAGAACCGTGACTAGGATAACAAATGAAAATGCATTATACACTATACCTCAGATTGCATTACTGTGTTTAGTACATGATGTAGATTGTCTTTAAAATGACCACCAAGCAGTGAAGTCATTGGAGATTTCAGTCAGAAAAATAAACCTGTTGTTTTGTTTCTTTTTTTTTTTTTTTTGAGACAGAGCCTCAAGCTGTCCCCCTGGGTAGAGTGCTGGTGGCATCAAAGCTCACAGCAACCTCCAACTCCTGGGCTCAAGAGAGTCTCCTGCCTCCGCCTCCCAAGTAGCTGGGACCACAGGCGCCCGCCACAACACCTGGCTATTTTTTGGTTGCAGCCGTCATTGTTGTTTGGCGGGCCTGGGCTGGATTTGAACCCGCCACCTTAGGTGTATGTGACTGGTGCCTTAGCCATTTGAGCCACAGGCGCTGAGCCAAACCTATTGTTTCTTATGTAACACTGTATAATATATGGTGTCTTTGCTTTTAATTATAAGTTCTTTTCTCATCAAGAACTTGGAAGTGTAAGTTATTCTTCCTAGCCAAATAGCAAATTAGTTAATTTAATTTTTATGACTAATTTGTTACCTGATCAGAACCTTAAGTATTTACTAAAAAAATTAATTAGTAATATACTGTATTGATACTCTTTACCTATCTCAATCAATACTAATTACTTTCTGTGTTTGTTTATTTTGCTTATCTAGAGAAAACAGACCTTGGATTAGATACATCACTGTCTGTTAAAGGAAAGGCCAGCATATAAGGATATAGAAACTGCTTCAGCTGATTCAAAATGGGAACGACAAGTGATGAGATGGTGTCTGTGGAACAGACTTCCTCCTCCTCCTTAAACCCCTTGTGTTTTGAATGTGGCCAGCAGCATTGGACGAGAGAAAACCACTTATACAATTACCAGAATGAAGTGGATGATGACCTAGTCTGCCATATTTGCCTTCAGCCTCTATTGCAGCCACTAGATACCCCCTGTGGACACACATTCTGCTACAAGTGCCTCAGAAACTTTTTACAGGAGAAAGATTTCTGCCCACTGGACCGGAAAAGACTTCATTTTAAGTTGTGTAAGAAGTCTAGCATTCTAGTTCATAAACTTTTAGACAAATTGTTAGTTTTATGTCCATTTTCTTCAGTGTGCCAAGATGTAATGCAACGCTGTGATCTGGAGGCACATCTTAAAAACAGGTAAGCAAAAAATACGAATGAGAAGTAATCAAGGTTTTATAAAGATTATTTGAATAAAAGATTGTTCAAACAAACACATAACTTGGTAAAAAATACCAAAGCACTAATAAGTGGGGTAAATCATATACAGAAAAGATATAGTAAATAGGTTGTACAAGACAGTATTTAACATTATTATTAAAAATGTGAATATAAAAACTACAGAGAGGAAGTATGTTATACCTATTAATATTTTTGTTGCTATAATATGAAACCGTTATATTCAAATGGATAACAGAATATTACGATGGATTCTTTTTACAAGGAAAGTTGTTTTTAAAACTATAAATGTAAATATCCTTTTATCTAGCTTATTATCCTAAGGAAATAATCCAAAAGAAGGAAAAATTATATGTGAATAATGTTCACTTAAACATTGTACATAATTTGATAAATAGGAGTTGATCTCATTACTTAAAAGTAGGGAATGGTTTAAAAATATGATAGCACATAAGCTCAATGGGATATCTTGCAACCAATAAAAATGATAATTTTGTTGCAAGGTAGAAATAAATATGTGTGATATTTGCTAAGGTCTTGTAAAGATTCTGTCTTTAGGGACTAAACAAGAAGGAGTTAAAAAGACTTTTGTTCTACCAATAAAAGGTTTTTAAAAGGTTTTTAAAAGGTTAGTTTAGTTGATTGGTGAGTTTTATAATTTGATTTTGATAAAAGACTTGATCTTTAAAATTATTTATACAGTTAGGTAAGGGTTAAAATATATCATGTCTGTAGAAGCACATAAAATGGCAGAAATAAATGTATAGATTTCTAAACTTCAAGGCAAACCATTTGTATAGCATATATCTGTAGTAATCTTGATTCCTGTGAAAAACAATGCATAGTACATCATATTGGATTTAGATACTACGTGTAATAGTGTTAAGTCTAGTATAGAAGACCTTGCCTTTATACTTACACAAAATTATAGAATTGAAGGACATTATCTAGCATTCTAGTTCATAAACGAAGGTGTCAGCTTAGCTCACAGCAATGTCAAACTCCTGGGTTCAAGTGATCCTCTTGCCTCAGTTTCCTGAGTAGTTGGGACTATAGGCATCCACCATAACACCCGTTAATTTTTCTATTTTTGGTAGAGATGGGGGTCTCGCTGTTGCTCATGCTGGTCTCAAACTCCTGAGGTCAAGCAATCCTCTGGCCTCAGTCTCCCAGAAGATTACAGATGTGAGCCACCACACCTAGCCTAATCTTCACATTTTATAATTAAGGAAACTGAGTCACAGATTTAAAGCTGCTTAATGGTATAGTTAGACTTAAGCTTTAATGTTCTTGTTTACTATTTTAATAAACCATGCTGACTGTATACCACAGGACAAATTGTTTTCTACTCAAAGTTTCATATGCATGTGAATATACACATTGATTCTGTTCCCAGTGTTATAAAGGGGTTCCACTCTTAGCCATCTTTTTTTTTTTTTTTTTTTTTTGAGACAGTTTCACTCTCTTGCCATGGATCATAGCTCACAGCATCCTCAGACTCTTGGGCTCAAGTGATCCTCTTGCCTCATTTTTCATTTTTAGTACAATTGGGGATCTAATTTTTGTTCAGGCTGGTCTCGAACTCATGAGCTGAAGCAGTCCTTCCACCTCAGCCTCCCAGAGTGCTAGGATTACAAGCATGGGCCACTGCACCGGCCTCACTATCTTCCTTAAAAATAAGACATGAAAAAGAACAAAAATGAGTAAGCTATTATTAACATGTTAGAAACATTTAGATTTATAAAGTCCTTGAATCTAAGCGGTATTGCCTAAATATAGGAACTGAGACAGTAAGATAGACAGACTTTTGGAAAATGCGTGTAACATAGCCTTGTTTTTCTGTATCTTCTGTCACCAGCAGGTATAGAATTTGAGCATGATGGCAGAGGCTTCTTAGAAATTGACACCAGAAGTTTGAATAATATACTAGTTTGGGTCAGAACTAGTTATGGCTGAAGAGTATTTTAGGCTTCTTAACTTCTCTCGAAAGAACTATTCTTTTTAGGGCATAATATTCTTTTCTGACTCTTATGAACATTAGTTAAGTAATATTAGAGGAACCGAATGAAGTTGCAATTCTGTTACTTCTTACTCTGAAAGTAGTGATAGAAAAATTTCACAAACTTTTAGAAATATTCCTTTAACATGCATTCAAGAGTTTAATATGTAGTCGAAGTATCACTAATGTTTTCTATCAAACCATTTGTGATAATCATGTAAAATCTTAGGAATTGCAAACTATCCTTTACATCAGTTACAAGTTGATAAAGGCTAAGGAGTTACATATAGTTGAAAGTTTAATTTTCCAGCTGTGCTTATTAATATTTGAATTACCAATTTAATCATTTCCAAAATGTCTTAGGCCTGTGACATGAAAGATACAATGAAAAGGTGGTTGGTTTGAAAAGGTTGTAATTTGCTTGATGTAAACAGCTAAGAGTAATTATTGAGTATATAAATATAAAAAGTTAAATTATTAAAAATTTAATATGATTTTTATATCACAGTTGAACAAGTATGATAAACAATCTAATCTTTATTCTGTCAAATAAAGACATTGACATTCAGATGGAAATGTATTACTATTCAATGTTCAACTGTCAATAATATCGTTCATCTGTTTATTCATTCAGCAAGTATTTACTGTCTACTTTGTGCCGGATACTGTTCTATGTGTTAAATAGTCTCTGCAAGTTAGAATCTGCTGCTTGGTTAGAAATTCCTTTAGGGACAGGACCGTGTCTTTACTAGTTTTTGAATTTATTTGCCCAATAACAATGACACTTACTTAACATTTGTTCAATTAAATTTCTAATCTATGTTCTGGTTATGCATTGCTGAGGAACTACCCCAAACATAGTGACATAAAGCAAAAAGCATTTGATTCTGTTAATTGAGTCTATGAGTTGGGAATTCAGACAGGACACAGCAAGGACGACTTGTGTCTGTTGCTGTATGGCCATGGCTGGGAAGAGCTGAAAGCCAGTGACTGTTGATACTGGAGAATCTACTTCCCAAGTGGCTTCTTCATTCACATTTCTGGCACTTTGATGGGTAAGACTAGATGGGTGGACTTGGCTAGAGCTTGTCAGCTGGAGAGACTACTTGTGATCTTTCCAGCACGGTGGCCTCAGTAAAGTTCTCATGTGGTGGCTCAGTGTTCCAGTGAACAAGGCAGAAGTTGCTGCATGGTAGTGTGATCTAGCCTTGAAGTCACATGGCATCCCTTCTGTTACTCTGTTAGAAGCAGTCACAAGCCCACTCAGATTGAAGGGAAGGGGGTATAAGTTTGCCCTTGTGATGAGAAAAAAAATTGCAGCTATGTTATAAAATCAGCAAAAACTAGGAAGAAGAATGATGTTATGAGGCACAGAATATTATGGTTATCTCTGTACATAATCTCACTTGTTAGAAATTGATAAGTTTTGTCTGTAAATTTCATTGAAATTCTTAAAATTTCAGCACCAGCAACTTTTATTTTATAGAAGTTAAGTGGCTGTCACATGCCTTGGTTCTTGAATTTTAAGTATTTGGAAATCTCTTGATTCATGGTAGAAAATAGAGCATGAGCAGTAGTTTCCATAAATTTGGTAATTTCAAGTTTAAGATAACCTTCCCTATTTAAGGAAAATTCTACTCTAAAAAAACTGTTTAGGTTTGAGAAGACCTGACATTTTTCTCCGACAGATAAAAGTAAATTATTTATGAAAGATAAATGTGTTTTTAAATGGAATTATTGTTATTAACTGATTACATATTAATAAAACAATGTCCATCTTTGAAAAGAGAAATAAAGCTTTTGTGAAATATTCTCACAAAAATGATTCTATATGTTATACTAAATATGTCACATTCTAATAAATTGCTGTGTCAAATACTACCAGCCAATATTAGCTGTAAAGCATTCCTCCTTACCCTTTTCTACTGCTCATCTCCAACCCATTCTCAACAATTTAACATTTAAAGCTTATGGTACTTGTAAATATTTTTTGTTCAAGTGTGCGTTTGTGTCCTAGTTTATGGCAAGGTTCAGAACCACCTTTCTTTTTTAAAATTTTTGTTTAACTAAAAAGTTTGTACAACAGAGAGAAAACCTTTAAAGAAGTGTCTTTCCATATTGAGACCTTTCCTAGTTCATAAGATGGTTGTGAAATCTTCAGGGGTCAAGGTAGGCTAAGTCAAGATTTCACTTTTAAATTTATGCTAACTTGGAGGGGAGTTTACATTTAGTACATTCTTTTCTCATGTATAGTGTAAAGGAGGCATATATTTACAGATATATTTGCAAATTAAGTATATTATAAGGATCTAGTATTCAGAATATATAAAGAACTCTTACAAATAAAAAGACAAATAATCCAATCTTAAATGGGCAAGTATTTGAGCAGGTATTTCTCCAAAGAAGATATTCAGATGGCTGAGGAGTATGTGACAGATACTCAACATTGTTAGTTCATTTTTACATTAGATTATTTGTGAGAAATATATTAGAAATTGTGAGATTTATTTATATTAGAAATTGTGAGATTTCTGGGATTTGCAGGTATTTTCTTCAATTCTGTCATTTGTCTTTTACAGCCTTAATTTTTATGAAGTCTAATTTATTTTTGTCTGTGCATAACTAAGAAATCATTGCCTAATACAAGGTCAAAAAGATTTTTTACATGTATATTTTTCTTCTTAGACTTTACCCATTTTAGTATTTACTTTTTAGTCTTGATCTATTTTTAATTAATTGTGATGGGAGAACATAATGTGTTGATCAATCCTTTAAATTTTATTGAGGTCTTTTTTTTTTTAATGGCCTACCACATGTTCTATCTTAGAAAATTTTCAGTGTATACTAGAGATGAATATCTCTTCTGCTATAGATAGATGAAGTGCTCTGTATATATTTATTAGGTATAGCTGATTTATGATATTGTTTAAGTCTCTACTTCCTGTGCTCTGTCCAGTTCTTC